TTTTCTTTCGTTGGCTTTTGCTTAGCTTTAACTCTCATATGTCAATTAGGCACAATTGAATGATTCCTTGTAGCTTTTCTCTTGGACGTTGGCTTTTCGTCCTTTGTGGTTGCTGCAAGATGGCTGCAGCTTTTGCGTCAGCTTTGTATGGGGTTTTCTCATTAATAATGAGCTAAATCCATTTTCTTTAGTTAAGGAGCAATGGAGGCTCTGGATCGCCAAAAATTTGTGAGATCGATTTAATTTAATCTTTTTCTTTTGTTTATTGGTATTCGCATATTCTTGGATTACTAAACTTATGGTTATTTAATTAATTGATTATCTTGGATCCGGATAATTAATTGATTTGATAATCTATTGTCAATTAGGGCATTAAATCCGTAATTGTTTAATTGCCTTAAATTAGTGACAACTGGCACGATTAGGTTTGTGTTAGGGGGATACGCGGGCTAATCTGAAATAACCCTGATAGTGCGTTATTTGATTAAAATAGGGCTCCTCTAATACGTAAGGCAATTGGAAATTAAATCTTACGGGCGTACTTGAAATTATTTCTCAATTAGAGTAGTGATTAACGGGCGTACCTTAATCACCGACACAGTAAGGAGGAGTTGACTGTCATCGCTTGTTTGACCGTTATAACCTATTTATTAGTAAATAATTGGAATTGCCTTTGTTTCAATGATCAACTAGGTGAACCATTGCTGAAGTTATTCCTTGGCTAGAGACTTAATTATCACTCATTTGATTTTAGTAAATTGTTATTTAATTTCTAGTTGGTTATTTTATTTTTATTATTTTACTTTTAGTTAAATTGTTTAAATTGTCACCCCTGATATAAAACACCCCCCTTTGTTACTGTGGATCTGAAAAGAAACAGTTACACCCAATCCCTATGAATTCGACCCTACTCACCGCTATCTACAGAAATTACTTTTAGTTTGAGTAGGTTTTTATAATTGCACAGGCTGACGACCTGTTAGATGCAAAGATCCTAAGAAAGCGAGTAAACACATAAGCATATAAACATGCAAGCACGCGAGCAAATAAACACACAAAAGGACCTAACTATTTTATTTGGGGACCTAACTACAATCCAATGGGAGAAGTCTAAAAATAATAACCTAACTATTACATTTATCTAACATTTTGGCAAAATTAAAACCTATCCATTACATAGTCTAGCTAAATATATGTCTTGAGCACCTATTTATTACAATTTGGCATTTAAATGCCTCTCGAATAATCACCAAAATTAAATATATGAAACTTGAGCTAAATAAAACGAGTAATTAAATAAATAAAGAAAATACTCAAAATCATGCAATTACATATAAAACACATAGGAGTACATAAAAATTTTTAAATAATAAAAGAAGATACCTCCCTTGAAGTAGTAGCTAATTAAGGTTGGATTTATCCTATTTGTGCTCCAAAATGAACAAAATGATCAACGCACCAATTTAATTAAAAAGAAATAAAAATAATCATGAAATCTACCAACTAAATCACTTAAATGAAGTATAATTAACAATCAAAGAAGAAAGACAACTTGTATTTAAGAAATCAAAACTATTAGGGACCTAATTGCAAAAATTAAGAAAGTTTTTAGGGACAAATTATAATTATCACAAAGATGAGGGATCAAAATGAAAGAAAATAAAGCTTAGGGACCAAAATACAATTAAATTAGAGACCTAATTGAAAGAAAACTAAAAATTTTAATGCCACAATATAGTTAATAAAACGTTCAGGGACTGATCTGCAATTGTCGTATCGGACTTCTTGATAAAACAGGCCATTGGGCCATTTTTCTTATTTTTTGGGCCAAAACCCTCCCAACCCAACCGAAACCCAAAGCAAAAAGAGCGGGCCAATCCACCGTTCTGTCCCCAAAATAATCTAACAAACCGATGGGCTTTAACTCTCTAGCCCAAGAAATAAAAAATATATCTAACCCAATTCCAAATAACCCAAACAAATAACCAAATCCAATTCCCCTTTTATTTTACCAAAACCCAACAAACTAATAGGTAAATGTTGTGAAACTAATAAATAAATCACTATAATATCAAGTGAAATAATGGAGATATTAGAGAAAGAAGTAGAGAAATAGAGAATAATTATCTTATTATTCTAACTAATACAAAAGGTACATTAATCCTATTAAACACCCACTATTACAAGAATATGAAGAAACCTATGAAACGGTTTCTCCACTATATGAATAGATTTATGGATTGCAACTTCTATACATAATGTAGTCATAAATCATGAATTAATTCTTTTGGGAATACAAAGGGACATCCACATTTTAGTTGTTTTATAACACTCCCCCTTGGATGTCCATTACACAAAGAATATGCCTCGTTAAAACCTTACTAGGGAAAAATTCATCGGGACAAAAACCCTAGTGAAGGAAAAAGAGTACACTATTCCTGTATATTAAGACTTCAGATCCTCTGTCCCCAAAATAGTCTATGTCCCCTCTGTCCCTTATTTGTATAGCTGCCAAGTGTCTCTAGCCTTTTGTTAACCCAAACTCAAATAAAACCGATAATAATCGGTTTACAAGTTTTGTTAATCCAAATTCAAACAAACCGATAATAGTTGATTGATAGGTTTACTCAAAATCAATTAAAACAGATAACTCAAAACTATTATGTAATTAATTTTAAATCATCGTATTTACATAATTATGAGATGTAAAAAAATTAGAAAGAGTTAAATAAGTTGATATAAACACACACATGGTTGATAAGAATCTTAGATATTGGAATTTGATTCTCAAAAAATCATCTGCTGGATAAAAATAAGAGAATAGTAATAAAATTTCAACCACTCTTACTAGGTACACCTAAAAACCCTGCTAATACTTGAATAACTATGGTCTATCATGTTGGTTTGTAATATCAAACCCTTGCCTATTCATAATTCAAAATTTCTAAAGATTGTCGGATTTTCCATCAGTTGTGCATCTACAAACAAAACCACTAGGACGTGGCATGGGACAGCCGCAAATTTCATTACAAGCAACTAAACTTGAACTCGGTTGGCTGGAAATGACATTAAGGTCCATAAAGTCATTGACATTTGATCCACTGAACTTGTGTCCTACTTCAACCTATAAATGTAGAAAAAATAATCATAAGTACTAAAATGTTGAGAAGAAATTCTCATAACATCAAATACTATCAATGGACAATTACTAAGTTACCTGAAGTAAGTCTGTCAATCTCATAGAATCTTGCAACTCTTCAAGAAAATTAAAATGTGCAACTTGGTTCATTTGATTTGGAGCTAAAACTGGAATCTATTTTTAAAAAAAGCAATAAAGAGAAAATTATTTATGGTATGAACATAATTAAGTGCTTGAAAAGCCTTATGCAATAAGTTTTGCATCACATGATAATTACTCAATTAGAAGAACATAGCAAACACACCTTATTTAAACCAAATGGCTGTACGAAGGTCACTTGTTCAGGATAAATTTCTTGAGCCATGCTAGCATCACCTGAGCCGATCTTTTTTATTTCTTTTTTGGTTAGAAATTTTGTCTCCACAAATAACAAAAAATTAAATTTTAGATTAAATAACTATTTCTTGCAAACAAGTGAATTATTGGAATAACTAAAATTTAATTATAAACAAGAAAATATTACCTGTGACAATTGTGTTGAGCACAAAATACGTTGGCTATTTGGTTCCCATATATTTAAACCATCTCCACTACCAGTAGGACCTTCATGCACATGCTTAAAAATAAAAAATATAAAAGAATAATTACATCATCAAGACTCAAAAAAAAATTATATTAGCATAATATCTAATTAAAGCTTGCTTTTCATACAAACAAACCCATGGCTGATGGTGCTGGATGGACTTGACGATCTTGTCCAAACCTATATCCTTTATGAATGACTTCTTCTGAAACCTACCAGTTAAAACATGAAAAGCTGGTGTGGTTTATCAATTGAAAAATAACTATGTACCTGAGCATTGGCTGTATTTTCGGCAGTTAAGACCACACTTGTTGCAGCTGATTTTCTACTATGTGACTTTCTCTTTCTCGATGTCTTTTCTAATCCACTCTTCAATCTCTTACCCGAAATAATTTTCTTTTTGGCTATTATTCCTTTGACTTTTATGCCAGTTTCTTCGTGAATAGCATGATCTTTTTCTTTCAAATAATTCGTCCTTTCACTTGAGCCTTCAAATGTCAAATTTTTGCTCTGTAACTTTTCATTAACCTTCTCAAACAGCTTCACAAGACCGTCTTTAACCATTTCATATGTTTTTCCTGTTTCCGCTGCTCTTGTAACCAATTGATTGTGAAACTTGCACAAGTTTCTATACCTCATTTCACCATTACTTTCGGATTCAGTGTGTTATTGCTCTTAGACAAGCCTGGACTTTGCATAACCCCAACTTTTGCTTTCTTTGTCCATCTCTTCATTATGTATGGCTGTGGAACTTTGACAACATTTCTTGTGGTAAGAACTTTCAGAGCATGAGAACACAGTATCCCACAAAACTCAAATTTTTTGCAGCTACAGTATACCGTGCCATCCAAAGAGTCATATTTAACAACATGATGATTTGTTTTTTTCATAAGAAGTGACATGATAATGGATTATTGTTCCGACCTCGCTAAAAATAAGTAAGCTGTTATCATGAGCTTTACATAATTCATTCTGAAATAACTTGAACACTTCTCGGGTATAAATATTTGCTGCATGCTTTAATATTTGAGCTGGAAAAGATAATACAGGAGTACTTATACTTGCTCTAAAATCAGCCTTCAACTCTTCATATCGACGACTATCAATCAAATTTTGAAAATGATCAAAAAATTGACTCAAATTATTTTTATAGCTGACATATCTTTTTACGACATTGTTCATACTCTCACTTCTCTGTGTCGTAGTAATATCAGCACAAAAGGACTGGCGGCCATAGACTAGTGCCCATTTTTCTTTCAATTTGAACATTCTCTTCAGCTAATCATTATCTTGAAGATTATACCTCTGTAGCATTTTATCCCATTCAGTCACAAAAATATCCTCTTCTTCGAAATCGTATATGCATTTACCAAAGTCACCTGCAAAGTCTGTGAATTTTTCAAAAACACCACTTAGATGTATGGCAGCATTTTGGTAAAGGTGCCAAATACATAATCTATGTTGTGTCTCTGGCCATCTGGAAGCTAATGCTTTAGCCATTGCTGCATCTTGGTCTGTCAGAATGGTTTTTGGCTTTTTTCCTGACATAGTGCTAGCAAATACATCAAATAACCATTCAAAAGTCGGAGCTGTCTCGTCATATAAAAGTGCACCACCAAAAATAATAGTTTTCTTGTGATGGTTCACACCAATAAAGAGTGCAAGAGGACGACCATCACAGTTTTTTTTGTAAGTTGTATCAAAACAAACCACATCTCCAAAATCGGCATAGTCAACTTTCATCCTAGCATTAGCCCAAAATATATTAGTCATCAAATCATCTTTATCAACTTGAATGGAATAAAAAAAGTTTGGATTTTCTAATTGCATTCCCTGTAAATATTCAAGCACTCCTCCAGTATCCCCTATTTTCATATCTCTTGTCCTCTTTGAACGTAAATAATTCCTATAATCTTCAGGAATAAAGCCCAAATTATCCCGTCCACCAGCTTGTTTTACCATAAATTCATGCGATACTTTTGGCGCAATTCCTACACTATTTGCCATATCAATCTCTATTACATGAGTTTCATGTATTCTCCTATGTGCTCTGAACAAATGTGTTTTGTGAGGACTACAAAGATAATGATTATGTTCTGGTATAAACTCAATGACACGATATTTTTCACTTTTGCTGCAACTAATTTTCATTTTTGCCAAACAACCGAATCTTGTTTCAGGACGATGGATTTTTACATTGACATCTCTTTTATCTGCCCCTCGTTTGCCTTCGGCACTACAACAAAATATCCTATCAATTATTTTACCAATTTTGTCTTTATGCAATTTGCTTTTTCTAGTGCCGAACCCAACCTTCTTAGCATATGCTAAGTAAAATTGACCAGCTGCTTCTTCACTGTCAAATTCCATACCTACCTGAGGGATTTCTTCTTTAGGGATAGAGGGATGAATTGAATTGATATCCGTCTCTTTGTTTGAACTTGATGCACCAATAAGCTCAATGTCTGTATCTTCATTGATTGTTTGAGAGCTGTGATGATGTTGAGTGTCATCTATAAATTCCAATTTACGACATGGTGGGAACTTGCTCTCAAGGGAATCATCACCTTCCATGATCTACAATTTTAAAAGATTTTAATAGTTAACTTTACCATTTCGTATCAGTGCTTGTTTTTTTTTTTTTGGAAAATTAATTTTTAACTCATTACAAGAATTTTCCACAAAAAAATAGGAAAAAGACAAAGTAAACAATTGTTCAATATCTATGACGTAATTAAATACAAATAGACCTGCTTAAATATCGAATGACATTTGTCAAAAATAAAAGCTTTTAACTATAATGTTTATCACTGAAAAAGTTTACTTCAATCACTTTGACTACTAAAGGCTTTACGGCATTACTAAAAGGGGATTGTACTAGTTTATTACTGAAAAGGGCTTTACGGCATTACCAAAGGCTTTACTTCAATTAGATACTAGTTTATGCACTATATTGACTTCACAGTGTATATAGATACTTATATGAACAATGATGTTGAGAGGGGATTGTACAATATTGTTCCCATCGCATCCAAGTTCCAATGAATACAGGTAATTTCAAATATGACAAGACAAATCATGAATCAAATATATTGTAAAATTGGCATACATGATCTATTGATTTGTTTTACCTGGATAAAGATGAAGCTGAATCTTGCTACTTGATCCTTTGGGCGTTTTTGCGGCAAGATTAAAGATATAATGACTGAATCAAAATACTTGTTAGGGTTTAAGAAAAAGATGATTTGGGGTAAAAAATAAAGAAGAGTTTTAGTTGATTTCTATGTTTATGATCAACAAGACTCTTTTTTGTTAAAAAGAAAATAAAAAATAGTTTTGAGTTATCTGTTTTAATTGATTTTGAATAAACCTGTCAATCAACTATTATCGGTTTGTTTGAATTTGGGTTAACAAAACTTGTAAACCGATTATTATCGGTTTTATTTGAGTTTAGATTAACAAAAGACTAGAGACACTTGGCAGCTATACAAATAAGGGACAGATGGGACATGAACTATTTTGGGGATAGAGGATCTGAAGCCATATATTAATTTCTCCCCCGATGCAAATATCATTTGAGATCTTTTAATCATCGGATTCCAATATTCTTCGCCAATTGCACTGAGATATGATACTTCAAGACCAAATATCTCTTCATCTTCTTCTCGCGATCTAAAAAGATTCTTATTAGGATCTAATGATCTGACGATCATTGGAGTACTTAATATATGTGCCTTATCCATATAAAACCGGTTTAATATCTTTCGGGTACATGCAGTTTGGTGGATAAAATTTTCACTTTTCAAATGCTTAATTTGTAAATCAAGGCAGAATTTTGTCTTTCCAAAATCTTGATCTCAAATTCCTTCTTCAAATATTCAACACTATTTTGAATCTTTTCAGGAGTTCCAATCAAATTTAGATCATCAACATATATAGCAATTATCACAAAATTTGATCCATTTTTCTTGATAAAAACACATGGACATATTGGATCATTTGTATAACCTTCTTTGGTTAAACATTTATTGAAACGGTTATACCACATACGTCCAGATTGTTTGAATTCATATAAAAACCTTTGTAATTTAATAGAATAAATATCTTTAGGATTTGATTTGCATGCTTCAGGCATGTTGAATCCTTCGAGAATTCTTATATAAATATCATTTTCAAGATTTTCATATAAATATGCAATAATGACGTCCATTAGACACATATCTAATTTTTCATGTACTGCAAAACTCACAAGATATCTAAATATGATAGTATCCATTACAGATGAATAGGTTTCATCATTATCAAATCTAGGCCTTTTGTGAAAATTTTTGGATTACAAGTCTTGCTTTATACCTCACAATTTTATTTTTCTCATTTCTTTTTCTCACAAATATCCATTTATATCATGCTGGCTTTACACCTTCAGGTGTTTGGACTACAGGTTCAAAAATTTTTCTTTTAGCCAGTGAGTCAAATTCAGATTGGATCCCATCATTTCATTTTGGCCAATCATTTATATACCGACATTCATCAACCGATCTAAATTCATGATCCTCATCAACTTCTATAATACCAAGTGCTACATTTCATTAGGCTCCAATTAAATTTTCTACGATTTCATTTTTTTCAGGAGTAAACTCTTCAAGAGTTAACTCTTCAGGAGCGACCTTTTCAGAAGGTTAATTTTGTCATGACATTTATTAATCTCCAGAGATATTTGAAATCAATTGATACCATATTTAGGTAGGCCGGCCTTAAATTTATTTGTAGTACTTGTGCATGTCCTTCAGGGACATCAATTTTAATTAGGATATTTTCTGCAGGAATAGTTAATTTAATGACTCTTCTGGAGTCGATAAATATATCTGACAATTGATTTGCAACTTTCTACAAATGAAGAATTTCTTGAACTTCTAATTCACATTACGAGGATCGAGGAGATCCAATTTTCAAATGATTTTCTTTCAGTTGATTTTTTCCTCCCCCTAATGTCGGGAATCGTAGCTCATCAGAATAAATAAATCATTCAATAGATCACTCATAAATATTTTATGATATTTAATCGTAAAAGGTGATTCATACTCAACATAAATTTTAAATTTCTTTCGGAGCCATATATAATATAAAGGGGGTATATATAAATACTTGTCGACTCTTAAATATTTTCACTTTTGCCAAATCATATATCCATTGGGATCAGTAAACTTTTGATTTATTGCAATTGATGATTATAAATCAAAATGAGAATAAAGACAACTATATCGATAACCATTTCTCTCTCGAATGATTATTATAATATAATTAACCTTTATCTCACTTGATTTCTAAACATAATCTATTTTATTGTCTCTTTTAATGTCTCAATTTGATATCCATTTCGACGGATATTCAAATTCAATAATTCTTTCGAGACATGGTAAAAAGTAGTGCTTTATTTATGATAAATTTTTCTCCTATAGGAAGAAATATAGTAGTGGCTCTTTTGGAGTTTTCAATCATTTAAACACTACAACTGATTGTGTTTGTCTCTTTCATTGGAATATAGTGTATATAGTAGCACTTATTAATGAGACACATATCATTCTCACCATAATTTTTATGGGACAAATATCATCACCATAATTCTTTGATCCCAAATATTTAACATCCATTTTTTCTTCAGGAAGAAAAGTCAATTACTATCATAAATTAAATCAATCATCATACACCTTCAGGGCTTTTAAAGAAATTGGCCATGTGAAAATGCTATTATAATTTTGATTCGTTAAATATATTTTGGGACATTTATCTTTAGGACCTTTATTTTCTTGTCCTTATCATTATTATTCCACTTCAAGTGGTAACTTTTTCCCTTGTCATGGTAAAATATATATTTATCAAAATCATAGTCATGGCAACAATCATAATTAATAAATTGAAATTTAGCTGCATTCACTTCTGGGAATGAACTAGAATTAGCATGCAATAAGTACAAAATACTTCTCAAAATTTCTCTTAATATTGCTACTACAGGAGTATATTCGAGAAATCAATTGTAGAGAATATCATTTTCAATATATCTTATGAGTAAAATTTTCTCGACACAATTTCAATTGAGAAGTAATTTTGAAAATTGCATAATTATGTTCTTGTAGTCAAAGGTAAATTTATCATACCAGGCTTTTGAAATAATGACCATCTTCTAGTGGCCAAATATTTTCGTTAAAGAACGACCACTTTCAGGTGATCGAATCTTTTTCTTTAAATATTTCAAAGGAAAAGTGAATCCTCAAACATAATTGATTTTCTATAATAGCATCTCTAAAACTCAATACATCAGAATATAAGTATTTATAACAAATAATTATAAAGATAAATAAGTAGAATTAAAAGGAGAAATATTACCTCAAAGATGTCAAACAATATATGTTTGTGTTTAGTGGTTGTTCAACAGTAGGTACTTGTATTTTGCGATAATTCAAATATTAACCATAAGAAATTGAAATAAGTTTGTGGGTCAGAAATTTACCTCAAAAGTTACTTGAAGAAATGCAGGTAGAATTTTAGCAAAATCTCCCGTTTCACTTTTGTTCAAGGTAGAGCCTCCGTTTTCACCTTTTGCTCAAAAGTAGAGACTCGTGCTGATAACGTGTTGTGAAACTAATAAAATAAACCACTGTAATATCAAGTGAAATATTGGAGATATTAGAGAAAGAAATAGAGAAATAGAGAGTCATTATCTTATTATTCCAACTAATACAAAAGGTACATTAATCCTATTAAACACCCACTATTACAAGAATATGAAAAAATTTATGAAATGATTTTTTCACTACATGAATAGAATTATGGATTGTAACTTTTATACATAATGTAGTCGTAAATCATGACTTAATTCTTTTGGGAATACAAAGGGACATCCACATTTTAGTTGTTTTATAATAGTGAACTAAAAAATGTTAAAGTCTAATTTCATCCCAAAATCCAGAATTAATTAACTAAAAAACACACTTAAAACATAGAAAAGGAGATTAAAGCTTAAAAAGGGTAAAAATGATTTATTTGCAGAAGTTTTGGGGCCATAATAGAATTTGGTAAAATTTGAGAGGCCAAAACAGAATTTCCAAAAATGTTCATGCAGCCTAGTCGAAGCCTTCATCTTCTTCGCTGGTTTCTTTCTTATTCTTGCTGGGTTTCATGTAGCCAATTCGCATAGCCAAAAACTAAAAGCTTAGACTCAATACATGGACGCATGTGACCCAAGATTCATCAAATAAAGTCTAATACAACATTTCACTAAAAAATCCTATCTAATAATCCACAAAATGATCAGGAAAATTGCTGAAAAATGAGAAAAAGAAGAAAGAATGGAAACAGAAGAAACATGCTCTGCAAAAACATCTTGGTGACTTTGATGCGAATACAAGTTTAAATGAAGCAAGAGAGGGTGAAATACTTCACCTTTAACAACTTAGAGGGTCGAAATCGCGTGCCAAACTTCGAGGAAGGAGACTCCAAGATTTGTCGTAGGAGATGCAAGAATTCCGAACCCAGCAATTTCAAACCCTGATTCAAGGTGATAAAGATGTTCTTTT